CCTGCTGACAACAGCAGGTACAAAATACAGCTACTTTTATAGCCTGCAAAGCTTCACTATGAGATGAAAGTAGAACAGGAATTCTAAGTTGAAATGCACTTATGTTAATGATTTCTGATTTAACCATTCATCATTAAGCATGAATGCAAATCACTAGACAGCCAAAATGAAACATCTCCTTTGACAAAACTAACTAAAGCAGAGTTCACCTTACTTTCACAACTTTGACAAGAAAAGTTTCACAAATTTTTTCTAAATTTGACAGATCCTGATACAATACTATATCCAAATTAGTCTACTTTAAGCCATTTTAAAAGACAAAGGTTTCCAGAAGAGGTGTGGGGTTTTTTGCTGTTTTGTTTGGGGGTTTTGTGTGCTTTTTTTTTTTTGAGATTAAAGGAATACATTTGGCAGACGAGGGGAGAACATGGTCAAGCTTTCTGGTATATAAAACCTTGAAGCTTGTGTTTTATTCCCTCGCATTTGTCTGAGAGAAATAGTTTAATCCTCTTTTCAAGATACTTGTTGTTATATCCTGTATTTCCTGACCATATGCTCCCAAGACTTAACAGACTACCTGTGAAAAATGGTGCAATATCAAATAAACCTGACATCAAGCAATTCATATAGCACCATGTGGAGTTATAATATTCCTTCACTTAATAGAAATGGACACTAATAACCATTTAATGGTCTGAATTTTCACCTACCAACATCCCTCAATCTTATGTCCCATGTTATGGAAGGACCAATTGCCACCACCTGAGACTGATTCACAGAGTATGTGAGCTCTCCTCAATCTTATGTCCCATGTTATGGAATGACCAACTGCCACCACCTGAGGCTGATTCACAGAGTATGTGAGCTCCAGGGAACGATGAGGGCACAAAGAATGAAAAACCCTTTACAAATAAGGCCAAGGAATTAATTTAACATACTCCTACTGCCCTTACTGTGCAATATTTTTTGGAGGAGTTTGTATACCACACCTTTAACTTCAGTAACTGATTTTCAATTTGTGCTGTTTCCAGTTGCTTTTGCTTCTCTCTCAGCTTTTCCATAGATTGCTCATGTGTATGTTTTAAATTCCTTATTTGTTCCCTTATATCAGTGTTCTCCAATGTAACATCCACTAGAGTTTTCTAGAAGAAAGAGGCAAACCAAATATTAAAAATCAGAAATAATTTGATGAACAAGCATAGTCAAGAGATTATGAAACAGCACATTTAAAGAGGTTTCCTGATGTATTAATGCAGTGTGAACATTTTGCAAGTTTTAACATTTAAAATTATGGCTTTTGTTGTTGCTGGAAGGTATTTCCATGAGGAACATGCTGAGTGAAATCAAGTCCTGGAACACTATTGGAAAAAAAAAAAAAGAAGGGAATGTGGATACATTTCAGTATGAATACTATTCTCAGTAACCTTCCTTTCTTCTCTCCCAGGGCCCTGTGATACACAAAATGCACTAGACTGGATGAAACTGTGACATACAGGAAAGCAGTAATGTTAAGTTGTTCAGCTCAGTTACATGGGAATTTGGAGGCCTTTAAAACAGGAAATTCATTCCCACCTCATCCCTCCCCCTACATTTCACAGGTATGTAAAGTCTCACAAGTGTTTACCATCCAAACATGCCACTTCCATTTCTGTTAACGACTGAAGATAGGGGTAAGTCAGGAGATGTGCCATTTTGCACTATGCAGAGCAAATCACATTTTCACCTTAGATAATTCCTAGGACAAGACTGGCATTAGTGGCATTAGTCTGCTGCATATCAGTATCTCTTTATTGCACTCTACTTTTTAATTTATTTTTTTTTTTAAAGCACAGATGCTGGAACTTTTTTTCCTTTATCTCTTTATTGCACTCTACTTTTTAATGGTTTTTTTTTTTTTAAGCACAGATGCTGGAACTTTTTTCCTTCGTTTCCTAAATTAGTTGTTTTAGATACCAAAGACAGTGCTTTATGGTCTTGTTTGGTGTTAGGATCTGTAGCTGTCATTCATGTTTTAGGTATGCTTTTAAATCCATGTCAGAAAAGGCAGTTGTCAGCTGTGAAACAGCTATTAAAATGTACCTGCAAGTCTATTGATGCTGATGTCAAGGAGCTGTTCATTTCGCTAAAGCTATCTAAGGCTGCAGCCTGCACTCGCACATGATTCTCTAAGGATTCCTGATGAGCATTTGTCACCTGAGCAGGGAAAAAAAAACAAACAAAAAAAAGAACAAAAAAAGTTTTATATAGAATAATGATCAAGTTTACCTATTCTTTCAAAGGGAACTACAGAAGAGAAAGAGCCCAAGGTCCATTTTCACAGCACTAGGTCCTTAAAATATACAGGCCTCAAAGCAAGTTCTTGTACCTCACAAACAAACAAAACTTAGGATTCAAATATGCTAACAGAACTAAGGCATAATTATCTATGTTTATTGCTAGTCTGCAATCACTGTATAAACTGTTCCTTTTGAAAGGACAAGAGGACGCTTGGCAGCTGTCTATTCAGGAAGATTATATACATGGAGTGAGCAGATTGTAAAAAGTCACAGAGTGAAAAGCAGAAGAATGCAAGAGATAAGGAAATCTAAAAAGGTTTGGGCGAACCATAGAAGAGTCTTAATTAAGAAGGAACTGACTACATAAAGAAGCAACATCAAGAAGACTTAAGGATGAAACAATACAAAGCAGGTAGGAGAACTCGGACAGTTTTGTTGTGTGAAGATTAGTAATTTTCTGTTATGTACATACACATATGCTTAAAAACTGAGGGGGGGAAAAAGACACAAAATGATAACATTCAAGAAGAGACCAAAACCCAAACAGTGTAATTATTAATGATCCAATAATAGAGAGGAAAAGAGTGTTGCTAATGGAGGTCAACCCAACTCACATTCTTAGATGGATCAGATTTGTTTCTTGATAAAGACATAAGAACACTAGGGACTGACATGGAGGATGAGTGTTTAGCAACCAAGCCATAGACAGATTAGGTCAGCATAGGGACTAGAAGCCAAGTACTTACTATTAACCTTGTATATGTGTGCTCATTAAAAACAAACACACAAACAAAATCAGAAATGCTTTGGATGGATTAAGAAAGTTACAAGGTAAGAACTTGTGTGAGGAAGCCCAGGGCAAGATATTGGAAATAGAACTTTCAAACAATCTATAAACAAAAGGTAGGCCTGGAAATTGGTAAGAAAAAAGCATAGTGATTCAGAGCTGAAGCAGAGTATAGAAAGGATTTTAAACAGGATTCCCAAATAGCATGAAAGGTGAGAGTCATGTAAAACCAAAATCCAAGTCCAAATAATCAACCAAACCAAAAGCATATGTTATTAGGTAGAACAACACTTGTGCTTCCTTGCAGGCAGTCTAGAGTATTAAAAAAGGGGAGGGATGTCTCATAATGTGCCATTTACGTCAGGAGTGCTCATAAACTGTTAATTTGCTGCAGAACTAGATATTCTGTCAGAGCTGGTCAGAAACCCTTAATTAAGAAATAATTTCAGACTCGTGCAGGATTTCTACAGGTCTGACAGAAGATCTGGTAGTGCAGGATATCACCACTGCTATTCAGTAAAGATCAGCAGCAAAGGCAACAAAACTGCATCTGAATCAGCATTTGCCTACATGCACATGGGCTGGAGACTCACCTTGTTGGCAGCCTTAAGACTGCCACAAAGCTATTTAACACAGCTTACAGAAATCAAGTTCTCTCTCTCTCTTCCTCTCAAGTCAGGGTGATTTTTTTTTTTTTTAGACTAGTTGTCACAGAACAAAAGTACCAGTTTACAGCAAGTTCTGATTTTTACACCTAACACAGCACACAGGGAACTGACAGCTGCCAAATTAGGATGGCAGAAGGGCACAAATCAGGGTCCCAGTCCCTTGAAGTCAGAACACCTTTAATTGTCAAAGCTCCATCTGAAGCAGGGCTGTGAAAATCAGTGTGGAATATAAAATCCAAAGCAAATTTTCAGGAAGATTTTTTGGACCAAACAAATCAGCAGTTTAATATGAAGGACACTTCTGCTGACTGTAACAGCTTTATTGCCAAAGCAGCATGTCAGAAGAAAGAAAGGTCATCGAATGACCATTGAAATGATCAATTAAGAACCAAAAAGTAAGTAATTTTCCAGAACTGTCAAGCACTTTAATACTAAAGAATATTGCTACTTCTTTTACTACAGTGTTTAAACAATAGTCAGTAACCCAGAGCAAAGTCTGTTGAAAGGACACCAATCTACCTGTTACTCCTAATCAGGTGTGTTATTTATTCCATTCACCTGGCAGTTTACTGGTACACTTACCAACTACCCATACACACAGACAATGCTATCAAAATCATTTTTTCATTTGCAAGAATTTCCAGGCAATTCGTAATTCCATAGGCAAAAGCATCCCTGTCCTGTTTACCTTCCCATATGCAAAAATAAATAAACTATAGATAAAACCACATAAAACAGTGGTTTGGGAAGTGGTTTCTGTTCTGCTAAGGCAAAAGAAAAGTTTCTGGGTAATACACACAGACAATGCTATCAAAATCATTTTTTCATTTGCAAGAATTTCCAGGCAATTCGTAATTCCATAGGCAAAAGCATCCCTGTCCTGTTTACCTTCCCATATGCAAAAATAAATAAACTATAGATAAAACCACATAAAACAGTGGTTTGGGAAGTGGTTTCTGTTCTGCTAAGGCAAAAGAAAAGTTTCTGGGTAACGACAGTTATT